GTTCTGTAGTTTATTTTTAAAACCAGAAGATTATTTTTCGAATAAAATATTTATTTTTTCGCAAAAATCGATTATTTTTTTATAAAAAAATCGATTTTTCTTAAATCGATTATTATCACAAAGCAAAAAATCGATTTTTTATTAATCGATTTTTTTCACTCAATGTCACATCCGTAGTATTATCTGTGTCAACCATAACCATAGACCAAAAATGCCATAGATTTAGTTTTTTGGGCCTTGGATTCTGGGGTTTTGGCCTAATTAACGCCATCTCTACAACGTTGAAGAAAACTAGTCTACAAGTTTATATACCTAGTTCACTAGAGGGCAGTATTTATAATGCATTTTTTATTCTTGTAAATTTGTATGGCAGTTTCATCCCCCTGAAAGAAACCAAATGAAGAGTTATTTAAAACAAATTAGTTAATAATTAATTATATTTCCTTTTAATTTTATTGATATATGTACTATATGTAATAGTTGATAGCTCCCTCTAGTGTATTTTTCAGTAATTTATAATCATAACGCCATCTATAAAAGCGCAGAAGAAGCTTCCCTCGTTTCGTCACCTAGTAATTTGTCAGAGTAAGACCCCCCACCCCAGCCTGCAAAATAACGATATTTGTAATAAAAAAAATACTAGTCGACGTATTTTTAATAGCAAATTACGATTATACTTGTATTTGTAATTGCACAAAGCGCTGTTATAGACAACCCAAAATTTTTGGGTTGTCTATAACAGCGCTGAATAAAAGAACATAAAGATGAACCTATTTTATTTATTATCTGCCCTAATAAAAATAAATTAATTAAAATAAAACAAATTTCAATAAGAGATTATTTACTATGGTATCAAACAGTTTTACTTAATTATTAATTTTTGTAACTAAATAAGTATGTGCAATAACAATACGTTATTGTGCAATTACAATCGAGATATGTGCAATTTATTGGCACTCTGTGCAATTAGAAAAAAACTTTATTTACGGAGATATCGATATTGCAGTACTAGTAAAAACCATAATTTACTTTTTGATTTTTTATAAAAAATTGGAGATTGTTCAATTAAAAATACGTCGACTAGTATTTTTTTTATTAAAAATATCATTATTTTGCAGGCTGGGGTGGGGGGGGGGGGGGGGTGTCAGAGTAGCTCATTTATGCCTTATATACTATATTATGGAGATGGGCAAAGTGTAACATTTTTGCGATTGGAACATTTGCATCTCGATCACTGAAATGTTCCGAAACACTGATATGTTTCATTTTGATCATCAACTCAAAAGATTTAAAATACAGAATGTTCCGAATACATTAAGTTGCGACGCGGGCGTTTATTACTGACTGATCAGTGAAATGTTATGTGGCAACAATGCTGAATAATATAAGTGCTTAGGTTATTTATTGTGTACCGTAATAAGATTGTATATGAAATCGATCCTCCTTCATACTTTAACAAAAATGTCATTATGTCAATTCATTATTTACAAAAATGTACATTTACACAAAACAACAATGTCTATGTACACATAATTTTCTCGTAGTCTCATAACTAGATCTTTATGATGAAAAGGAAGAAAGTAAGTCACAATAATCACTACGCAAAGAAATCCTAAACAGAACTTAGTATGTTTTCGTAAACAAGCGCTAATGAACATAAATAATTTGACAAGTGCTGCATCAACGTAAAATGACAACTTGTTAATGCAAACATTACATACAAAAAACGACGGTATAGTATTTGATACGTAAGCGTTTTAGTAGTAATTTTTACGTGCATGAATAACGACAGCGAAAATCCGTACGAGTTGAGTGATACACTTCTTATATGTTATCTCTATCTGACTTGTATGGATTATAATTATTTTGCCCGCTCACTCGCCACTCGCGAGTCAATAGTTAAGTTAATTACTGTCTCAGTCTGTCTCTCTCGCAAGCGACGCGTCGCGCGAAATGAGCACAGAACAAAGTAATGTTTCACTGTTCCAGATCCAAATGATGCATTTGAAACGTTATTACTGAACCAATCTTTTAAATCACTTCAGTGATTCGGATCAGTGAATCGGTTCCGTAAAGAGATACAAACTCCTAGTATATTATCTATGGTTGGCAGGGTCAGCACGGCTACCAAAGAGTGTAGTAACTGTCCTATACAGGAAACCTTTTAGTACAAGAAAATAAAAGTAACGTAAATTTGAGCACCAGAAAATATAAGTAACTTGTTTTTAATCACACTGTAAGATCAATTAGTCTTTTAAATATCAACATTGGCTGTTTTGAAAATTAATTGCATAACCACTCAAGCGTCGGCTTTAACCACTACCAACTTATTTAGATCTATGGTCAAGCCAAAGAGTATAGTATGTACTAATAGAGTATAGTAAGTCAGGCCAAAGATAATTTTTTTAAATGAAGGTAAATAAGAGGGTGGATTGATAAGTTTCCGGCCTGACCAAGAGATGGCGCCACTAGGCCTACCTTAAAGTGACATTCTATATAGCCATCCTTGGATAGCTTGTAAATATAGTTTCAGCCCGATCGCCTTGCTAGTGTAGGTTTGAGAGCACGCTGAACAAGACGCCTCTGTGTTTTTCGTAATGACAATGAAGAAGTAATCGAAGCTATAAATGGTTATTTTGAGAAGCTTGACGAATCAGTCTATAGAGATGGCATTAATAGACTGGAACACCGCTATGAGAAATGTATCAGCCTTGGAGGAGATTATGTTGAGAAATAAAAATTTTTTTTTTAAATAACCTTGTTTTTCTTAGTCAGGCCGGAAACTTATCAATCCACCCTCGTATAACTTACTAAGTTCTTATCCAAATATAAAAAATATCAACTATTAAAATATCGCATTATTTGTATGAAGGTCAATTGAGCGCTAGAGAAACGCCGATTGCAAGACGTTGTCCATAAAAATAAAATGTTTTGAGAAGTTATCAATTACCGTGTAGTGGTGTCGTATGAATATCCGTACCATCCCGTGGGTCTCGTAAGAGGCGACTAGACTTGGGATTATTTTTAAATAACCGTGACCGTCGTTCCGGTTACCAAAAATCATCATGAATTTGTTACGTTGATAAAGTTGGATAAATACTTGAAACATTAGAACGACTTAAAACGTGACTTTATATATGCATTTTAGATTTAGTATTAGGTTTTATTTCAGTATTAGATTTTTTATTACCTTCCTTACTTAAGCTACGTGGCTATGTTATAAATTATTTACACCATCTTTAATCAGTTTTTCTTTTTCTATCGAACTGCGAACTGCAAATTCTTTTAATTGGATTCGTCAAGCTTTTACAGGTTAAAGCTTTAAACTTAAAATTGATAAACACTAATTTTTGTCTGTGATATTAAAGATATTTATAAACTTGTGGCTGAAGTCGCGGCGTCGTCATATAGAGTGACGTACGCAGACCGCACTCTTGGATTGAAAGGCTAAACCGGCCTCTAAATAGCTTGATGGGCGCAGTAGATCAGAGCGGTATTTCAACCCGGGCCACCTTTGTACCTTGCAGCTTTAAAAATCGTATGTTCAGTCCCATATGAAATAGGTTCTCATTTCTGGGCCGAGGCACTCCAGCACCAGCTGCTTTCAATTTATCGCGTTAATCGTAAACATCCACATCATGTCGATTGTTGGCGATTCATAACCATGCGTTTTACAACGAATTTTCTGCCACGTTCGACCACATTGTGGAATTTACTGTCGCCAGCTGTTTTTCGGGATCCATGACTTAGGGACCTTCAAAAAAAGAGCTTTTTTTTACATGGGGAAATGCTTACGCATACCCGCCTCGCGGGGGCAAGGACGGGTTATGTCGGACTCGCACCGACTAAAACCCCATGGTGTTCCACCTTCGCCGCATATTGGCAGGGCCACGGGAACGCTTTCGCACACGTCCGCGACCCCACCAGCGCCGGCCGCCCCATGGCAGCTCCTTCTCGGGGGAGGACCTCTCCTCCCCACTCTCCCTCTCAGGCAAGGCGCACCAGGAACACAAGGCACGCCTCCCTCCACAGCCTCCAACTTCACCTGCGTATCCCCCCCGAGTTCGATACGCGGAGGCGATGGGGCCAGGAAAATCGAGCGCTTAGTAGCACCCGCTTTCCCGACCCCAGCGGGGGATCTGGTCTCTGGCTCCGCTGCCAACCAAGTTTCGGCCGCGGAGGGTAGGGAGAGGGACGCCTCGCAATATCGACACTCCTCTCTCCCCGCGGCCCCACCACCACCGCATCAAAGGTGCGGCCCCGTCAAAGTCGCGAAGGATAGGGCGAGTGCCGCATCGCTATATCAACGCTCCTCTTCCTCCGCGACTCCACCTCGGCTGCAGTGGTAGGGGGAGAGGACAGAGGACATCCTTCTCACCGACACACATCCGAAGTGGGCGCGCCAAGCCCACTCGGAGTGGCCACCTCGGGCCGGGCCCTACACCACGGGGCAGCCAAGGGGTTCCTCTTTGTTCACCGCGGGTGACCAAGCCACGGCTACTAAGCCCCCCCGCCAGGACAAGGCGGGAACCCGTTCGGGGCGGGGGGGGGGGGGGGCAACAAAAAGAACCCACTCCTACACCTTTCTAATCGAGTGTGTTCTTAACTGTTTCAAGAAAATCTGTTTACCCGTTTGAAGATCATCAGCTCTTTTTGTTTCTTACGTCCATTACCTAACAAAGTTTAACAAGCAGTATACTATCTATGATAAAGTATATTGATAATTAGGTAAACGTCATTAATTTAAAATCTCTGACTTTACACCCATTTAAAAAAAATCGATTTGTCTGTATGTTTTTATCTTTTAACATATGTTCGGGCTTCTCTGTATATAAACCGATTTCAGTTATTCATTTTCAATAAATAGGTTATACTTCAGGAGCGGTCAGAAACAAATTCATCTCTAGGAGTGGAAAAATGTAAATCTCTGAATAGATAAGAAAAATATAACACAACGTAATAAATAAAACTGTAATATCGACAATAAAAAACGTAACATTGCTTGCTGCTACATGATTATATTTACTATAAGAGATGAATTACAATGATTTATTTTTCATTTGCTTAAAAAATTGTCTATTTCCTATACCATATCTGAACTGTCTTCATTCTTTTGACTTTCTTTTGTAATTGTAAAATACCATACATTAAAGCTTCAGCACTTGGAGGACAGCCTGGTACATATATGTCAACTGGTACAATACGATCACAGCCTCTGAAAGTAAATGTTTTTTTTATTAACTATGATAACTGACATGCCATTGAAATATACTACTGAAAGAAAAAATATGTTGAACAAAAATAAAATTATTTAAGAGAATTACATATTTATATTATAATGATTAGGGACTGATAGTAATTTTTTATCCGTCCGTAAACCACTGCTAGGCAAGGACCTTTTCTAGCAGTGGATTATTCCTGAGAATTTGACATAACTTGGTAGATAGATTGACAATCGCGTCAACGTCTCACAGATTTGTGGTTGCTCCTCTTTGGCACTCGAAGAGTATTTTACTTTCAACATATACAGGTTAAGATCATTCTGGCTTTTTCCATAGTCACCTCTTACGACGACCAACGGGACAAAACTGCGTGGCAATCGCAAAAGGCAATATGTTGTTGTTTTCATTTTATATGCTATTTCATTATCAGCCGGAAGAAATCCATATTGAGTTACTATTATTACAGAAACGATTTATTAAGCATGGCAATTAACACCAACCCTTTCTTATTTTGAAGAATTTTATATCCAGCAGTGGACTGATTACCGATTAATAATATTTCATATATTAATTATGCGAAAGTAAGTATTTACTAAAGGGCGCGCTGCATAAATGATGTGGTTATTCCAGAATATTTATAGCCCTTAGGATAGTAAATCACAGAGTGCGTTAGATGTGTTTGTGGTTAATCCATTTGATTACATAATATATCACTTATCAGTTATCTCTGCTTTATAAATTAAAATATTGTGGCCTTAATAAGCACATTCTTCATGTATTGTATTCTTACATTAGCAATAGGATTCAGAAGATCCAGATGAATGGTGTAAATTCTGTAGATACCGTATTAAAAATGACACAGGGGTCCAATCTTAGTCCCTTCTTGTTTCTATCATCAAAAAAATGACTGACGGCAGTTCAAGTGTTAATAACTTACCCTAAACTTCACGTACTACTTAGTACAGTAGTAGCTCACTAACATTGTATTGTACGCAGATGATACGTCACTGATATTCAAGGCTACCCGAAAAACAGACTGGTTAATACTAATTGCATTAAAGAACAGTGGCCAATCTTCTAACATGGTTGGACTGGTAAAATCGAATATAATGTAACTTGATGAAAATAAATATATGTCGTTTTATTTGTCTATTTAAATATAACAAATACGGTATCCAGTATATTTTTAAAAGAACCGTGAAACCTGGCAACTTTGCCATTTTTGGAAGGACTTATGAGACTAAGACCAATTTTCCAACAAAAGGTATTATCAAACAGGGCCTCAAAGTTAAATGTGGCACTATACTCTTCATAGATTTAGTATTTAATAGTGATTTAAAAAAAATACTGTACTGTACTGTACTGTACTGTAATGAAAATGCCAAAACTAACCTTACTTTGTGGCAACTTTGCCATCGGGGTTTTTAAAGAAAATAATAGGATATACTTCAATGATGAAGGTAAGTTTACCAAATAATATATTACACAACCAGGGGCGTAGCTACCGCCATATCAGCCGTATCAATGATACGGAGCCCCCGGGCTACAGAGGCCCTGAACATATGTAAGTAAAAATTTTAAGGACTTCTATGGGACAGGATGTTGGTTTGAATTGTTTGGCTAGTACTAATTGTAAGTAATAACTTATAATCAATATATAATTATTTTAATTCAATGCGAGTTTTTGTTCCTTTTGTGAAATATCTTTACCCTTCATTTGGGCCCCCCGACAAATTTTGATACAGGGCACGCTATTCCATTGTACACAACACTCAGAGTTATGATTTGCCCCTCTAGCTGCAAGTAACAAAGTTTACACTAGTGGCAAAGTAGCAAAACCATTATTCAATTTTACAAACAAACTTGAAAATACATATGTGCCAGGTTTGTCAAAAATCCTTGACTAATTTAGTTAATTTTTGAAGTCAAACTTCTTTATCGACGTAATGAAGAAATTTAGGAAGGAATTAAAAAATGCCACATTTTAATGTAATGGTTTTTTGTAACCTACATATGTAAGATTTAAAATATAAGAAGAATTATATGTCGTTAAGAAGTTACATATCGTACACGTGTACATAATTTCACGCACAATTATTTTTTTATTTAAATCTTGTCACAATAACTTCTTCGCAAAAATCTAAAATCTATTGGTCCAAGAGGCAGAGCCAAAAAAAGTCACTGAATTTATTAAGCCTGGTTTTTTATCAGGTGATTATAATAATAATTTACAATAAAATACTAGTCAGTCAAGCGGATATTAGAACATGTGTCTCAGGTGCGCGGTCAAACGTGTCGTGACCACTGACATAATAAAATCAATTTCTTAAGTCTGAAACTTTATGAACTTTTGTTTTTTTTTTTTATATATAAATCAAAAGTTTCAGCTTCGGATAGCGTCCTAATGTTGATGGGCATAGATAAAGTCTATGCCCTCAGAGTTAGTAACCCTACCCCTTTCGACTTGGAGAACCGCACACTCCCAGACAGAACAGACAGGACAGACAGAATCCGTACCCAGCTCCATTCTAATAGAATTGATAAAATCAAAAGTGATGTTTAGCATTTCCATAAGATGAAAGCGACTGGCGGCGAATAAATTGAGATCAACCATATAGAAAAGCTTAAATCCCCTCCCGGAACCCTCCAGTAAGGTACTGAGAGGGTTTAGAGAGAAGCAGAACCAGATGGCACTGAAACAATCGCCCTGGAAGATACCCCTTATCCTTATGTGGTTCTCCACAGCTGACATCGCTCGCCTAGGTGACAAAGGATCGTAATCCACTGTATTTGCTTGGGTCTGTGGTATCTTGGTCTTTAGGAACCAAATGAGTGATCCCAGTAGTGAAGAGGGTCTGGAGCGACTTCTGGTCGAGAGCCTCTTGAAACTGTCGGGTGAGCACAGCGTGACACACCACGAACCCCTTCAGCCAACTTTTGTTGTAGATTGTGAAGACCTACACAAACAATAATAGCTTGTAACTATTGTAAACACTCTCTTGTCACTCCCATGACTGACTTGACATTGGCAGATTTCTAAAAAGAGGGGCCATAAAACTAAGAAAGAAGAAGAAGAAGATTTATAGAGCCTCTTCTGATCACTCTGGATGAGACGATTCTGGTTGAACCTTGTCGACCTCTCGGTATATCGCCGAATACGCTTCCCCAAAGTAGCGATTCCTCTTCTGATCACTCTGGATGAGACGATTCTGGTTGAACCTTGTCGACCTCTCGGTATATCGCCGAATACGCTTCCCCAAAGCAGCGATTCCTCTTCCGATCACTCTGGATGAGATGATTCTGGTTGAACCTTGTCGACCTCTCGGTATATCGCCGAATACGCTTCCCCAAAGCAGCGATTCCTCTTCTGATCACTCTGGATGAGACGATTCTGGTTGAACCTTGTCGACCTCTCGGTATATCGCCGAATACGCTTCCCCAAAGCAGCGATTCCTCTTCTGATCACTCTGGATGAGACGATTCTGGTTGAACCTTGTCGACCTCTCGGTATATCGCCGAATACGCTTCCCCAAAGCAGCGATTCCTCTTCCGATCACTCTGGATGAGATGATTCTGGTTGAACCGTGTCGACCTCTCGGTATATCGCCGAATACGCTTCCCCAAAGCAGCGATTCCTCTTCTGATCACTCTGGATGAGACGATTCTGGTTGAACCTTGTCGACCTCTCGGTATATCGCCGAATACGCTTCCCCAAAGCAGCGATTCCTCTTCTGATCACTCTGGATGAGACGATTCTGGTTGAACCTTGTCGACCTCTCGGGATATCGCCGAATACGCTTCCCCAAAGTAGCGATTCCTCTTCTGATCACTCTGGATGAGACGATTCTGGTTGAACCTTGTCGACCTCTCGGTATATCGCCGAATACGCTTCGCCAAAGCAGCGATTCTCTGCTTCAGGTCGTCCATCTGCTCCGTCAGTTTTTGTGTTATATCTGGCTGGGACAAACTGATATTTGTCCCAGCAAACGCCATCCTGACGGTGCGCATAATTCTCAGCCTATTATTGCCCGACCTGAAGCTTATAAGTCTGCCGATGAGGGCTCTTGCCTTTGCGATACGGTCGTCAATCCTTCTTCTCCTGGCTGGGATAGCGCTACTTTGCCCAGTGGCACATCCAGACTTGAGAGGTTAGGCACCAACAATGCGGCAAACTGCCAAAGCGGCGCCAAAGTGTAATGATTCCGTATCACAAAGGTCTCGGCTGTCTTCTAAATAGGTTGCCCGAAATAGGTTCAGTGCCGTTACGACATCCCGATTCCGCTTGCTTTTAGGGTTTTGCGCGGGAGTCGCGGTCGATTTTCAAGATGCGCTGTCGTCGCGCCATAAGCGTAGAGCGCGATTCCATAATCGCCTCTTCCAATTTACTACTCATCTGCTCTAGTTTGTGAATGACCATTCTATCATCGCCTGAATCAACCAGAGCGGGAAGATCCATGGAGGCTTCCACGTGTGGCTGCTGGGCCTGAGCATCCCCAGCTATAGCCGGTGTTATTCAATGAGGGAATAGCCTCATGGAGTAGTCGCTCGAATTCGGCATTATCACATATTTTCGAGCGTATGATGTACCAAACTCGGTCTGCCAGAATTTGCTCTGTGACGGAAACAGACGACTACAGCTCAGCAAAAAAGCGATGCATCCGGGCCCAATACGCTATCCCACCAGTTTCTTCTTCTTTCGCCCTATAGTACGCCCGCAATACGTTTGTGTTCATGTTTTTTTGTCCATGTGGCGTACTCCACCAGCGAGGGGTGCCACTTGCGAGGGAGTGCGAAATAGGTGTGACGCGAGTTATCACACAAAATCCGGCACATATATGTCAATTGTCTTTTATGTTCAGTGCTTACATAATTTTAATAGTGATTTTGATCTTGCCTCGTTATCTTCTATTTAAAACACCCAAAGGTTATTAATCAATAACTTTTGGTTATTTAGCTTAACAAACTTTGGAATATTATTTTATTTTTATTATTTAAAAAAAATTAAATATGTGCATAACTATGTAAACAGTTGCCTATTTATTTAATGGCTATATATATATATTAAAGCAGTTAAATTACATTACTCAGATATTTTTGAATTATATAATATGTAATTGTTTAAATATCAGATTTACTAACTAATTATTTTCTATAATGACAATTTTGATTTATTTAAGCTCTTGCGGACCACTGGTTGGGAATCACACCATAATATAGTACACAGCAATGGCTGCACTTGGTAGAAACATGTTAGAGGATTGTATTAACCAGACAAACTCTCTAGACAGAAAAGGAGACAGCTAGTAAAATTGTATTATTCAATATCTTACCTTACAACTGAATATGAGTAATGGTAGTAACCACCACCATTGGCACAACTGCCCATAGAAATAACCCATCGTGGATCAGGCATTTGGTCATACACTTTTCTTAAAGCTGGAGCCATTTTATTTGTTAATGTACCAGCAACAATCATTACATCGGATTGTCTTGGAGATGCTCGGAAAACGACGCCAAACCTTGAAACAGAACATTTTGGATATTTTGAGATTTTACTCGCTCAGAGAACTTTTAAAAGAAAATTATTATCTTAACCTATTCACTGTCTTGACCACACCACAGAATAAATAATAGAACAAAAACAGAAGGATCACTCTCTGCTAGCAAACTTGCGAGTTTAAACTTAGTTACAACGTCGCTAGTATTCATAATACTTTGCACGCCTCGGATACGACCTTCGTTAAAATAGCCTACCGATCAAATCGTCGAAAAAAAATTAATGCGGCGCGCGTATTACATCAAAATGCACCTTGCGTCCACGTGCGAGTCTGTGTGACATCCAGAAACATTAAGATTATAACATCGAGAAAAATTAAGATTATAACAACGTAACATCTTTGAAACTCAGATGTTCGGAATAATATGCCTTTACCTTTTTTTTTATATAGAAATAGGGTGACAAACGAGCACACAATCCAACTGATGGTAATTGGTTACTGTGGCCCATAGATATCTACATCTATCCTCGTTTGCGAATTAAAATGCAGATGCGTTGTCAGCCTTGAGGACAAAGATGGAATGCCTCTTTTCCAGTAAAAAGGGGTCTCCGGTTCTCTACACTCACCATAAGAAACACAGCAGCATTAAGCTGCTATTTTACGCTGGTATTCTGTGAGAGCGTGGTCCTTCCCCGATCAAGCCGGCCCATTCGTGCTACAACTATATTATAAATATAGCTGCAGCTTGGCTCTACCACGTACCTTTGAAATTGCCGTTCTGCAGTATCCATTTCATCGCATTTGAAATTCGAGTAATTATGGAATATGAGCTCAGTCGTGGCAGTAACGCGGCACCAGCGAATAAGATTCAAATTCAAATTACCTACTTACCATTTTATCTGTCTTCAAAAAAAGGAGGAGGTACACAATTCGACTGTATTTTTTATGTGTGTTACCTCTGAACTTTTATCTAAGTGAACAGATTTTAATTATTCTTTTTTTATTTGAAAGCTGGTGCTTATAATTTATAAATCCCATATAAATTTGATCAAGTTCTGACCAGTAGTTTTGGAGTTACCCTTAAGTAAAATAAAGTTGCAGCCTATTTACGTCCCACTGCTGGGCACAGGCGTCCTCTCATTTCTGAGAGTTACCCTTAATAATGTGTATTAATATTGAAGTCAGTTGTACAAAATTTTTAATTTAATTACTTGTCTTTCTTCATCTCTTTTTAAAAAACGTTACCTCCACACTAGGATTTTCTCCTGTATCGCGGGGTCAGTTTACACACATAGAACAGACCCAGAACAATTATTTGTACATACATACATACATACAATCACGCCTCTTCACCATAGGGGTAGGCAGAGACCACTTCTTTCCACTTGCTACGATCCTCACATACATGTTTTGCTTCGTCCACTTTCATTATTCCCTTCATACATGCTCTTCGGTTTAGGGTACTCTTGACCTGGCCTTTTTCAAGACGTCTCTGATTTGGTCTAGAAACGTTCGCCTAGGTCTACCCCTTCCAACACTTTCATTTACACTCGCCTTATACACTTTTTTCGTCAATCGTTCTTCATTCATTCTCTCAACATGGCCAAACCATCTCAGCATAACTTTCTCAATTTTTGTCACTACATCTTCTTTCAGACCACAACGTTTCCTTATCTCACTATTTCTTATCCTGTCACTCAGTTTAACTCCTATCATACTTCTGAAAGCTCTCATCTCAACTGCATTTATTCTGCTTTCATGTTTCTTCTGCCATACCCAACTTTCACTTCCGTACATGAGTGTCGGAACCAACACCCTCTCATGCACAACTAAACTAGCCTTGTTAGACACCTTCCGACTGCTCATAAAGGAGTGCAGAGCTCCATTCACTATGTTTCCTGCATTCACTCTTCTTTCGATATTACTTTCACACTTTCCATCTCTTGTAAACTTTGGATCTAGATACACAAACTCAAACTCCAACTCAATTATTTGTAGGCCTTACAAATACTTTTTCCGTGCGGGATTCGAACCCACGACTCTTTGCGCTGCAACTCATTGGTAAGCAACTGCGTCACGGAGCCGTCATTCGTCTTCACATTTTTTGTTATTTACAAACATGTGACACGCGACGGCATTATTAATAAGAGTGGTAATGAGAAGTGCTGCTATTTTCAATCTCTTTCTTTTATTGACCAAGTGTTAAATCAATATCCAGTATATGCTGACCTTGCATTAGTGGAGGGTCACTAGTACAGGGAGATCTACTTACACGGAACAGATTTTTAAGGTCATTGGCATTATACGCGAAAAAATGGAAAACTGCGAAGCTATGGTCGAGTCTCTAATCAAATATCCTCTATTGAACCAGGGAACCTTAAGAGAAGACTTAGAGCATATACAGGAGTGGACAAAAAATTGGGTTATAAGACTTAATCCTTCTAAGTGCACAGTTTTGCATCTAGGTCGAAACAATGTCAGAGAAATGTATAACATTGGAAATTCAACAGTACAGTCAGTTAACTCACACAAGGATTTAGGTGTCTTAATATCATCCGACCTCAAGTGGGCTGACTGGGCTGATCGTTTCAGCATCTGACTCCAGATACATTGCTCAAGGTTTATAAAACATACGTCCGACCGCTGATAAAGTATGGATTTCAAATTTGGAACTACTATTTTCTTTAGGATGTAGATTTGCTGGAGAGTGTACAAAGAAAAGCCACAAAAATTCCATTATGCCTTCGCAAAAAGCTATACGAAGAGAGATTAAAAATATTGAATCTAACAATGCTGAAATCTTGCCGTACCAGAGGAGACCTTATTGAGACCTACAAAATATTGACACATAAATATAATTGCAAAGAGCTGCCACATATTTTTAACATCAGCAGTATCCACCGACCTAGACATCCTAACTATATGAGATTGGCCCACACCCGCTCATACACTAATGTGGGACATCACACACTAAACAACAGAATCATAAATATATGGAACAAGTTGCCTCAAGACGTGGTAGATGCTCCCTCTGTGATTAGTTTTAAAAACAAACTGGACAAATGGTGTAAAGACAATCCAATTTAGTGTATTCTTAGTGTGAACTTGGACTAATATAAAACACCAACACAGATATAGGCATATCAGCTATAAGCTGCTTGCCTATTACCAGATAATAATAATAATAACCCCACCGTTGTATCTCTACTTTGACGACGTAGGGGGGCTTGCGTGCTCCAATTAACTCTAGGTTTATGTCGGTAGAGTTTACTTATGTCGAGATAGATCTAGGGCAAGGAGCCAGACTAAAAGAGATACAATGCAAGCCAAGGTCGTACATGTCTAGGGCTGCATGGCTACAGGAGAGTGCTAGTCGATAGTGTGCCAACTCTGGATATAGGGGACCTCCAGTTGTATTTACACTTGCCGCAGTGAACGCAGGGCTCTGCTGCGGTCGACTCTGTAAGTCCCTAGCTACTCGTGGGAATAATATGATTACTAAATCAAAAACAAAAAAACATGCTAACACTAATCTGCCTCAGATAAATGATGAAACTTTACAATGCAAGTCATCATCTTCCTCATCTCTTTTTCCATCAATACCATCATCGTCACAATCATTTTGCATCAACCCGACGACATCATCATCGTCAATCAGTATACAGTCAGCAGATGTTGTACAGGAGACAAATTTTGTCGACGAAACTGTACCCACCACTAGCACTGCAACAACTCGTAGGAAATGGAGTATTGAAATGAATAAATTTATCCTACGCACTTATCTTCATCTTACTAGTATGGACACAGACAAAAATGCATACCTTTCACCTCTTCACACTAAGTTTTTAGAAAAATACCCAACTATGCAAGTAAGCCGACAAAGAATAGGTGACCAGCTAAGAGCCATAGTTAAAAAAAAATACTGTCACAGAATATAATAGATCAGATTTATGAGAAAGTTAGAGCCGAACTAGAAGTAGTTCACACTCAGATACAGCAACACTTCACACAATATAAAATACCAAATAAAATAAAACCCAGTCAGCGCATGAAGTCGACGAACAAATATAATGAAGCGTTAATTAAAATATATTATACTGTCACACTATTAGAAACAAATAAGACAGCCTATAGAAAACATCTACATGAAGAATTTATAAACACATATCCAGAATTAGCACATGTAACAGAGCAAAGATTATCTGATCAAACAAGAGCTATCATTAATAACAAATATATTAACAGCAACAGACTAGAAGAAATTAACACTCACTGTCCGGTTTTGAAACACAATAGTAAGACAATAGCAATGACCTATATGTAGTGCACGGGACAGCGAAAGGGTTAAAAACCAGGTAACAACAGAATTGAGGAATAGTAACACTAACACACAAAATACTGAATACATGAATATGGAAGATTGGAACACACAACCGCAAAACAACTTAGAACAACCTGATGAATACATCCACATACTAAACACTCAATATACAATAACTTACACCTCTAACATACCTACAAACACCTTGGCTTCAAAAATATCCCTCAACGATAACACTCAGACTAACATTGTATCGCACAGTCTCTTGAATACAAATGATGAAAATATCTTAAGTAACACATATATTGATCAATTTGGGCCTCTGCAAACTAACTTTGAAACTGCTCCAGAAATAAACTCGGAAATACAAGACATGTTTCTACAAGCTCAACAATATTTTTCAGATACACACCCCACTAACAGGCCATACATTCCCAAGCAGAAATCGTCTAGAAAGTTCACTGCTATAGTAACTTACTCGTATATAAACTCTGTCATTCTTCCTAAGAACGTAAATCTACACACCGAATCCATCACATTTCAAACAAAAATTTATTGTGCAGCATGGACGGCAGCTAAATGCAATGGGGCTAAAATATCACACTCCACACAAAATGAAAGATGAACATATATATACAAAGAAAAAACCGACATGGCAGGTCAGATTAGAAAGGAAAATCGAAAATTTAAGAGCACACATAGGCAGACTGACACACTTCATTAACGGTAGCAGAAGTAAAAGAGTAGTAGCTGCAGTAGAAGAAATAAAGAGAAAATACCAAATACACGCACAACACGAAAACTCGAATACGGAACTAGAACACTATTTGGACACTAAAACAAAAATTAAATGCAGCATCCAGTAGACTTAAAAGATATATAACATGCACGAACTGCAAAGTACAAAGGACAATGTCCAAAACCGCCCTGTGTAATAAAAGCATCGGACATACACGATAATTAATTTTCTATTTTATTATATTAGTTGCAAATACTTTTATAACACGGACTAGCTGCATGCAAAAATGAACATTAAAAAGTATTATACTCGACTAATAACATTAATCGCCGCCATCTTCGCCAAACGACATGTGGTGTCGAAAAATGATTAGGGATGCCCAATCGATTGTAATCGATTTTTCAATTTTCAATGAACTGTTGTATATTTTTTAATCTGAATTACATTTTGAATTTATTTCGAATAAAGTTGCAAAAAGAGGCTACAATAAAAATATCATATTACCATTTCTTTATATTCTTTTATATTATTCCCTACAAGTATAATTTTAAAAACCTAGTATACCTATTGAATGTCATACGAGTATGACTTTTTAATTTTGAATAGGTAGAGAATAATGTTGAAGAAAAATATTCGTAAAGACAATTATTCAGGATTTTCTAATGATCGTTTCGACAGGAGTATATTTTACGTCTTACTAAACGATAACTTACGAGTTTACGATAATTAATAAAAATTTATCTTATCGTGACTGCATTAATTATAAATGTGTTTTTTGAAAAGAGCAATATTGCAGACTAGATACTTATTATTAATATTGTTACAAGTATGGAAGAAGTAGAGACGTACGTGTTATTATAAGTAAAGTAGGACAGTGTTATGGTATTAATATTATCGTATGACAAAAGATGATATATACTATATAGATGGTATACTGTTTGTAACGTACGGCTATAATAAATCTTAGGAAATATTCATAAGTCGTATCGTATTTGGCGCTCCTATTTTTGATGTCACTAAATGTTTACTTGTCAATCTCTCATGAAAAAAATACGATCTCCAAATCGATGCAAATCGAACATACTAGAATCGATTCTCGATTAAATCAAGCATTAACAGATCTATTTTTGATCCATCGCGACATTTTCAAACATGCCTAATATAGACACAGAACATTATTGACGATAACTTACCGTAAATACAAGTAGCTGTATAGAAAAATCATTAAATTAATAAACATAACATTACGCCAGTATTTTCCAGGAGTAGGTAGAGGTGTGTAAGTACTGTTATGATGTACATCCCATGTAATAGGGGATGCGCGTATTGCCAAACACCGGACACAAATCCAGACTCCGTGCTACTACTGGGAACTTCAAGTTATAAAAACCCAATAATAATTTGCCCGACCCTGGGATCGAACCCAGAACAGAACAGTTTTTCTGTCTGTTACAAGGAACAGATGTTCCAACTATGCAAAAGTATTTCTTAAATCGTTTGAAATATGGCTAGTTCTTGAATAACTCCAATTCGAGAGGTTTCTGTATCGACATCGGACAAGGATTCTTCAGATCTATATCGATCTGGAAAATCGATTCTGTTACTATAAACAATCGATTAAACGATTTCGAACGGACATGCCTACTTTGTACCGTCATCTCTAATTCTGTCAAATGTCAAAGTTACATTGGTTGGCGTCGTTTGCAATTGTAATTGTCTTTGTACATAATTGTATCGGTGTTGTGGTGACTTTCGGGACTATATATTGAACATTACGACTTGGCTATTTTAACGGACTCTGATTGCTTTCAAGAACGACTTACCTTGCTGTGATTTTCGGAACTGTGTACCGCTCAAACGATAACCTAGCATTCATAAACGGACTTACGCATACGCAATGGAAAGTGTATTTTGTGTAAATAGCGGCTCTGCTGGTGGTACAAAATTGTTTAAAGATTAACAGAGAAGCAATCGTGCAATATTGCTGTAATTGCATCGTTGTACGCAGAACTATCGGTTGCTGCGCCCATGTTATGACCATTATTTGGTACTTGAGCTTTACGAGACATCAAAATAATATCGACATCCCTGCACAGTTTTTAGACAATATTCTTATTTCCAATTTAGAAAATGAACAATAAAGATGAAATTAATCTGTGTTTTATTTCTAATTCAAACATAATCAGTTAATGTACGTGTAAAAACAGCTTATACTACCAATTAGGTACTAAGTCGGTAGGGCTGGTCTCATAGTCACGCGTTTGAACAGCGCCGTCCAGACGCACACGTTTGCAAATGTACTAGATAGTAGTCTATAGTATTAACGCTGTTCACGCGCGCGCTGTTGAAACTTGGTTGATACGCTTGCTGTTCGACGGCATGTCTAGCGGCGTGACTGACAGCCTAAATCCTTATACATTTAGGTACTAGGTATCTTAACGTACCGTATATGCTAATGACAACATCTAAATGCTAACAGCCATTATATACATATATTTTTATTTTTACATTAATACACACAAACATTATCTCTCATTTCAAAACCAATGCTCAGAAAGCAGGTTTGTTAATTACATTCTATGCATTTATACGTTGCACTTACACTTAGGCTTTAGAACAAAAATTGCATACCTAATTATGTAGATGGGTACTAGAAATAGCTAAATGTTTTAGGACATCGTTTTTCAGCTTGTTAAGAATCACTCGGATCTATGAAAAACCGTAATATTCATGGTTCGATTATAACCTCAAAATCTGATACTTTTTTTTGAAATATATCTATTATGCAGCTAGTCCGCTATAAAAATATGTTACGCCACACCGCCACAGCCAATCACAGCGCACCATTCAAGCCAGCCAATCCTAGCCAAGCCAAGCGGAAGCCACCACTCTAACCACCGGATGTCTCTGGTGTGGGGTAGTGCTATATAGTGTCTTACAAGCTCCATTTTTAGAAAGTGATCACACTACCGCTCGTAATAAAACGAAACTCTGCCGAGATTGTTATTCAAGTATAAAATAAAATTAGTGCGTTTAGTTCTACCTTCTTTTATTTGTACTGACTGTTACATCTCAGAAGTGGGATCAAAAGTGAAAACTATGAAGCGTCATCGCGTCGGAATGCCAAGAAAAGGCAATAAAGTCCGCCCTCAAGAGTCGAGCGAATCACCATGTAAAGATTCTTCTGAAAAAAGCGACACTGAAGACGAGGTCACACCACCAGACACTCCTCCGGCCCGGAAAATCCTTAGAAGACTATTGGAAACCGAAGTACAAAAGGCAATGCAAGAGCTAGACGAAGAATTACCCTCCGTAACGACAAGAAAAGAACACCGTGCAGCCTCACTTATTCCAGAATTCGACCCCGATAATGAAGAATGTAGTACCGCAACAGCGTGGCTCAAGAAAATAGATCAACTAGGCGAAATTCATGGCTGGAGCGAAACTACAAAGTCGTTTTACTTACAGCATAGACTAAGAGGTCAAGCCAGACGATGGTACAATCGGCTTGATGACTACGATTATTCCTGGCAAGAATGGAAGCAGATGCTGACGCGTGCTTTTCCCAAACATCGCGATTTCGGGAACATGTTAGAAGAGATGATGAGCCGAAAGAAACTACCAACGGAATCGATGACGAAATACTACCAAGACAAAGTGGCCATGTGCTTCCGGTGTAAGTTGTCTGACAGCGCAACAGTCTCCTGCATCATTCGTGGTCTACCATCATCACTTCAAGCGAATGCGAGAGCATATCAGTGCGAGCATCCCGAAGAATTATATGAAGGCTTTCTCTGTGCGCTGGATGATTATCAACCGCTGTCAACGTCAATTAGAACACGTGTGCAAAGTAAAGACGCTTACGATCGACAGGTAATTGATAAAAAATACACGCCTATTAACCCTGACATTGACCCGTGTCCGCGCTGTAAGAAGACCGGCCACATATTACGTAACTGCCCGCATCCAGATTCACGAACATGCTTCAAATGTGGCAAGCAAGGCCACATTGCTACGCGCTGCGGAATCACTCCGAAACCTGCGCTACTGGCTGATGATAAAGTTAAAGAAATTAAACTTTTACAAAATCACAACAAGATTTACGAAAAAGCGGTAAAGATCAATGGCATTCACGTTAAATCTTATATTGATACCGGCAGCCAAGTAAATGTATTATCTACCCACGTGTCGAGACTATTGGATCTCAAAATCAACCCGACCAGCACTATCCTAAAGGGATTCTCTGGAGAACCTCTACCCAGCTGCGGAGAGGTAGGTTTTAAACTAGAAATCGATGGTATACATATCCCGTGCAAGGCTCATTTAACAGACGTGGATATGGGGAACATCCATCTTTTGGTTGGACAGCCCATCATCAACAGCGACGGAATGGTCTTAGAGGTCAGGGAAGGAAAAGCCACTCTCAAACAAGATATCGACTTTACAAGGCAAATGGATGTGATTGAAGAGCGCGCTCGCTTTAAGGTCGTCACTACAGAGAAAGAGCGTCTATTGCCTGGACTTTCCATCATCAAGGTCAACGTGATAGATAATGACGAAGATAACGATGTCGTCACTACGCCGCAACATTATGAGCTACGAGGTGTTTCGTACTCAATTCCTGCCACTCTGCTACGAGGCACCGTCGGGTACATCAAACTCATCAACAATGGAGCTCAAAACATCATCTGGGAGCAAGGCGAGGTGCTGACCAGAGCAGATAGCTGCGTCACCGCACCGCAACCAGAAGTTCAGGTTAGCCCTAAAAATTACACTTTGCCATCGACTTCCGTAGCCAAAGCCAATAATGATTATTATAGCAACTCTATAGCATCTCTGTTGCATACTAGCCTAGCAAACGTTAGCACTATTGGGGGAATAAACATAGAAGATATTAAGTCGGGTCCATTAAATAAAAATGATCATGATAGTTTAATTACTTTATTGACTAATTACAGTGACTGTTTTGCGAATAAAACACAAGACTTGGGATGTACAGATTTATTAAAAATGAAAATAAAATTGACAACTGAACAACCTATATACCGCCAACCCTACCGCTTGTCACATAGTGAGCAGGAGATAGTTAGGTCTAAAGTCTCTGAATTATTAGACGCAGGTATAATCCGAGAGTCCGAGTCATGTTTTGCTTCTCCAGTTATCATTGTAAAGAAAAAGAACGGCGATAGTAGACTCTGTGTTGACTATCGAGCACTTAATGCTATTACAGTCAAAGATAGGTATCCGTTGCCCAATATCGATGATCAGGTTTCAAAGTTAGCCGGCAAGAATTTCTTCACAAGTCTTGATTTAGCACAAAGTTACCATCAGGTTAAAATTGATCCGGAAGACATACACAAAACCGCTTTTATCACACCACAGGGGCACTTTGAATATACGCGTGTCCCATTTGGCCTGGCTAATGCACCATCAGTTTTTATGCGACTTATAAACAAAATCGTAGATTCATTACGAAATTCCAATAACTTTTCAAAAGACGGTAGTACGAAAACTTGCAATAATTTTTCGAACAACTATGAAGTGTTAGCGTTTTTAGATGATTTGTTGTTGCCATCTTTCGATGTGCAGTCGGGCTTAGATATTTTAGAGAAGGTACTTCATAAATTAAGATTAGAAAATTTAAAACTAAACATGAGTAAGTGTTCCTTTTTACAAAATAAAATCACGTACTTAGGACATGAAATTACACCGAGTGGCATTCAACCGGGTGAATCTAAGTTGGCAGCAGTGTCACAGTTTCCCACTCCTAGTAACGTTCACGAGATACGTCAATTTATTGGGTTATGTAGTTATTTCCGTAAATTTATTAAAAATTTCGCAATAATTGCCCGCCCATTGACCGATTTAACAAAGAAAAACGCGGCTTGGAATTGGGGCCGTGAACAATCTAATAGTTTTGAACAATTAAAACAGTGTTTGTGTACAAAACCCATACTAGCTTTATACGACCCCGCATTACCGACGGAGATTCACACGGATGCATGCAAATCAGGTATCGCAGGCATTTTGTTGCAAAAACAAACTGATAATTCATTACGCCCCGTTATGTATTTCAGTAGAGTAACGAGTAAGGAAGAAAGCATGTATCATAGCTACGAGCTCGAAACTCTCGCGGTAGTCGAATCGTTGCGTAGATTTAGGGTGTACATCATAGGCAAACATGTTAAGATCGTGACTGACTGTACGGCTGTTCGTGCCACCTTAACTAAACGTGACATTATCCCGCGTATAGCCAGATGGTGGCTGTCAATCCAAGATATTGATATGAGTGTA